AATTCGTTAACTAACTCTTTTATTCACACTTATGTGTAACAAAAGTTGCTTACATTGTAACATTATAACATATTTCTGCTTAAATACTTTACTAGTATAATTCGTTAACTAATTCTTTTATTCACACTTATGTGTAACAAAAGTTGCTTACATTGTAACATTATAACATATTTCTGCTTAAATACTTTACTAGTATAATTCGTTAACTAATTCTTTTATTCACACTTATGTGTAACAAAAGTTGCTTACATTGTAACATTATAACATATTTCTGCTTAAATACTTTACTAGTATAATTCGTTAACTAACTCTTTTATTCACACTTATGTGTAACAAATTACTGTTTATTGAAATGGTATATTTAAACGTTTTACCCTCACAAAAAAGAAACCTATCATTCTACACGTATTTGAAGAGCTTGTATCATTGGGTGAAGTCAGAAGCCAAAATATGTCATTTACTACATCTCATTATTAACACTTTTTTTTTCACTTAACCTTTTCTCTGTCGGACGTTATCTTTTATAGAGAGTAACATTTAACCATGGTTGTGAAACACAACAATAGTTATTTTATCTTTCTGCCATTTAATAAATATCTATATGAATATAATAGTACTGTGTGTTTTGTTGTATGTCCATGTAACTACTTGTCAGGGTGTGGATGGATCATCACCAAAATTTGGTATTGCGGGGGTACATAAAAATTTTAAGTTTTGCATTTTTCTGTTTTTATGGGCGTTTTTTACCTCTACTTCGCCCCCTGTAGATGAACCTTCACTAAATTTGGTATGGAGGTTCATTAGGTCCAGGTTGGGTACATACAAATTTTCAGTTTTGTATTTTGCTGTTTTCATGAGCGTTTTTGAGTCTTTTACCACTACTTCGCCCCCTGTAGATGGATTTTCACCAAATTTGGTATGGAGGTTCATTAGGTCCATGTGGGGGGCATATATATATATATATTCAATAATGCTTGGAGACGGCTTGAATGGGTTAATGAAGAAAACTTTAATATAAGTTTAACATACTTGATGATAACAAAACCTTGTCGAAACGTTGTACATTTGCTGTTATGTTAAACTTATATTAAAGTTTTTCTTCGTTACCCATTCAAACCGTCTCCAAGATTATTAATCTCAAAATGGGTTTCTCGTCATCGAATTTAAATATATATTTTCAGTTTTACATTTTGCGGTTCTTATGGGCGTTTTTTTACCACTACTTCGCCCCCTGTTGATCGATCTTCACCAAATTTGGCATGAAGGTTTCTTGGGTCCATTCGGAAATATATGCAAATTTACGGTTTCACATTTTGCGGTTTTTATGGGCATTTTTGCGTTTTTTACAATTACATACAAGGGAAGCAACTTTTCCTGTCCTAAAATAACCTTTCATTAATCG